AAAGAGATATTCACTCTCATTTTGGCAAACATACTCACACAGATAAGCAATCAGGAGACCAGAGAAGTTAAGCAATTTGACTAGGGTCACACAGTTATTTCCTCACGAACTGTAGAGTAGAACTTGGACTTCTTCAGTGTTGGGTAGCATTCTTTCCCTTGTCTTACACTGCTTCTCCTAGCACCTGGTAGTTTATTAGCATAGACTAAATATATTCTCTGGTTAACAATTGGTTTTGTTGGCAGTTTTGGCAAAAGTAGCAAAGTATACACAGTTGTGACCGTGTCAAAGACTCGAGTCTGACTTTTAAGCCCCTTTCCTACTTTTAGAAACTTATCCTGAGGAAATAATCTAAAAGAAAAGGTTGTATGCAAAAAGATGTCCACTATCATAGTCTTTGGAATACTGAAAAACTGGAATAATCTATATGCCCAACAATAGGAGAGTAGCTAAATATGGTAGACCCATGAATTTTGAAACCATTAGAAAAATTATGAAGACCACAAAGAAACATGGAAAATTTATTTTATTCTTCATCTCATTCCAAAAGGAGGTCATTTAATAAGCAGAGTGATAATAATTGTATTTTTATAATTACAACCAATTAAAAATTATATATTTATATGGATAAAGTCCAGAAGATAAAATGGAAAAATGAAGTGATTTTAGGAGTGTTGGGATGGGGAATGCCTTTTTCTTGGAGTTTACTTCATAATAAAGAGATGCAGTAAAGAATTGTTTAGAATGTACTCATTTCTTGACTTTACTGGTACTGAGAAGAGTTTACACGATGCTAGTGTCCTTTAATGCATCGTGATAACATGTAAGCAAATGAAAGACATGTGGTCAGAAGCCTCCTTACACAACGAACTCTCAGGGACACAGACCCGTATCAGTCCTTGACCTCTCGGAACTTACTAGCCAGTAGAGGAAATATGACATATACGTGGATCTCGGCACTGCTCCCCTCCAAAGTCTTTAACATCCCATCTCATACCAGGGCTTTTTCCCTCGCGGTTTTCCTGCCACCTGCTCATTAACATCATCAGGACTGCCAGTCTGCTGATCTTTATGCTTTCTTTTCTTTTTTTTTCGCTGAGGAAGATTTGCCCTAAGCTAACATCTGTGCCAATGTTCCTCTATTTTGTATGTGGGCTGCCACCCACATGGCCACTGACGAGTGGTGTAGGTCTGCGCCTGGGAACTGAACCCGGGCTGCCAAAGTGGAGCACACCGAACTTAACCACTAGGCCACCAGGGCTGGCCCCCTTACGTTTTCTTTTGATCCACCTGCTTGGTTTCATTTTCTTTGCCATTCAGCTTAAATACTAAGCCTACCACTTTAGCCACCCTCTCCACAAGAACTGCAATATCTTTATCTTTCCAGTTCACCTGCCCTGAAACCCCACCACACTGGACAGGCTCAATCACTTGCCTTCACCCAGCCTGGGCTGCAGGACTCCCCTAGACAAAGCCACCCAACATCCCTTCAGGTGTCCGTGGCCAGTTCCCTCCCCACTCCTCTCAGGCTCCCCTACATCTCACACTTGCCCTCCCCTCCCCCATGCAGACGATCTTGCCTTTTACTGCGCAGAAGGAAATTCTTAAGTGAAAACTTGCTCTCCTTGAGCAGAGCCCAAAGCCCTGTTGCCCTCTACATCCACCCTTACTCCCTGCCCTCCAGTTTCAGAGGTGAGGTGACCCTGCAGCTGTTCTCTGGACCCAGCCCCTCCTGCTTGCTCCAGCCTTTGTACCATCCATGAGCTTGTCACCCCTCTCTTCAACCTTGCCTGAACTCTTAGCTTTTTCCCTCAGAATAAACTCTTGTCTGCCATCTATAAGGAAGCCTTTCCTTTAGGATATATACTCTTCTAAAATGATTACCACTTGCCTTTCTCCTCCCCCTCCCACACATTTCTAAAAAGTGGTCCTACCTTGTCTGTCTCCACTTCCCCTTTCCCTCTCCTCACGTAGCCTGACCCCTCCCACCCCACCACCAAACTGTTCCAGAAGTCAAATCCAATGGCTCCTTTCCATTTCTTATCTCACTTGCACCCTCAGCTGTGTTTCACCCTGTTGACCATTCCCTGTCTTCAAATATTCTCTTTTTTTTTGTCTTTTGGGACACTCTGGTGTTACCTTAGCAGAATGAACACTGATGTCTTCAGGTCTTCCAGGGAGGGGAGAGCTGGGAAGGTCTCAGCTCAACGGGAGGGCTCGCACTTTTAGGGGAGTGGTGGCACAGCAGCTGTCAGACTTAAGATCGACTAGCTTAAGTTTTGAGAACTGACTCCTTCCTAGAGACTAGTTTTGTGGACTCTATGTCAAGCCAACTTATGACTCAGTAATAGACGGGTGGGTGGAACTCAACCATAATGATACAGAGATCTGTTTATTCTTTTATCTCATTGAAAAAAGGTGGATTCCAGATCACACTACAAGAACTTGCCGACAGTGCTGGGCCTTCCTCTCCTGGGGTATGATTAGAAGTGAGGGAAGTGGAATTCAAGTCATCTGGGTCTCCCTCAGTATTCTCTAACAGCTAAAGCTTCCAACCATTCCAGCTTCAACAAGATGGAATGAATTTTTCATTATTAAAATAATATTACTTTTTAGTATCATTCTTGTAAAGCACAATTTGGTACTTGATTATATGCTGTCTATTGGCTATTTTGATTCCTTCTTTCTCCTAAGTAACATGTCCCCTATCAGACTGCAAATGCCTTGAGGTCAAGGGTCTTTTTTAGTCTAAATCTCTTTTGTCTTCTACACTGCTTAGCATAGGGCTGAACATTTGAAAGATGCTGAAAAAAAAAAAAAAATCCTGTTGTTTAATTTAGCAACTATTTTAACTTTCCAAATTTCAATGGGTTTTGAATGACTGAAAATCAGAATCCCAAGCAACGTTCTCTTTACAATACAAGCAATGGGTTCTCTTTGCAATAAGTCCTATAAATCCTTGTAGTTCACCTCCTTAGGCAAACATTCCAACATCCTTGACTGTGGATAGCAGCTGGGTCTTTTGGGACCTTGGATCAGGCCTTCCTCCAGTCAGGTAAATAATCTGAAAAGAAAAAGAAATCGAAAACAATGTTACTGCAATAAACAAAGAAAAGCAAAAAAAAAAAAAAAAAAAAAAAGAAAGAGGAGGATTGGCATCGGATGTTAGCACAGGGCTAATCTAAAAAAAAAAAAAAAAAAGAAAAAGAAATCACACGTAGTCCAGTGTATTTTTCTCCTTGTGTGGTTTCTCCACCAGCTAGAGAGACATTAAAAGGCTCTGAACCTCTTGCAATCTTTGATTCTCTTTTTAAGAGTCATTTTATTTTTAGAGAACTTCCACTTTTCTTAGCTATACAGCCACATGGTGTCCCCTGGCTGGAAAATGATTTTCTCTTTAAAAAAAATATGCTACACTTCGAATGCAGGCATTAAATTAATAACAGATTTACCACAGTGCAATCCCCTGGGCATTACAATTTATGGCTGAAAGTTGACTGAAAGGGGATCCATAAATTAACCTACAAAGACAAGAGCGTCTAGAGTCACTATTTTGTTTTCCCCAGATAAAAGAGGATTAACAACCTGAAATCTTCAAGTCTCCAGAACCAGGGTGCAATCCCTCAGCGGGGCTTTGTGCTGGAGGCGCCAGCTCCTATGATCTCGGGCAAGACTGGCCCAGGTACTCTAGTCACCTGGAAGGCGGAAGGGAAGGTGGTACCTGAGCAAGGTAGAGCCACTGAGAGGCAGCCTGGGCCGCCACTCTCTCGGGGAGGAGGAGCTGGCGTCCGGACCCCCCCGCACCGAAAGGAAACGCGAGCCTCGGGCCCGCAGGTGAGGAGCGGCACGCCCGCCGGCTCACCTCCGAAGAGGCGGGGCGCGGCTCCCGCTGACCAGCAGGGGCGGAGCCGGCGCGGGTCACCTGGGCCGAGGCGGAACTGAAGGGTCCGTCACTGTACGAAGAACGTGGAACTGAGACTCACCTGTGCGGGGCCGGAGGCGGGGCCTGGGCAAAAACTCACCTGAGCCGGCGGAACCGGCCCCGAGAGTGGCCCCGGGCTCGCCCCGCGCGCAGGGGAGGCGCCCGGCGGGCCCCGTCTGAGCGCCCCTCGGTCCATCCGTCCGTCCGTCCGTCCGAGCGGGGTCCCCGCGCGGCCGCCATGACCTGGAGCGCCGCGGCGCGGGGCGCCCACCAGCCCGACAACACCGCCTTCACGCAGCAGCGCCTCCCCGCCTGGCAGCCGCTGCTGTCGGCCGGCATCGCGCTGCCGCTCTTCTTCTGCGCCGGCCTGGCCTTCATCGGCCTGGGCCTGGGCCTCTACTACTCGTCCAACGGCATCACGGAGCTCGAGTACGACTACACCGGCAACCCGGGCACCGGCAACTGCTCGGTGTGCGCCGAGGCCGGCCAGGGCCGCGCGCCGCCGCCCACCTGCTCGTGCGCCTGGTACTTCTCGCTGCCCGAGCTCTTCCAGGGCCCCGTGTACCTCTACTACGAGCTCACCAACTTCTACCAGAACAACCGGCGCTACGGCGTGTCCCGCGACGACGAGCAGCTGAGCGGGCTGCCCAGCGCGCTGCGCCAGCCGGCCAACGAGTGCGCCCCCTACCAGTTCAGCGCCGCCGGCCTGCCCATCGCGCCCTGCGGCGCCATCGCCAACAGCCTCTTCAACGACTCCTTCTCGCTGTGGCACCAGCGCCAGCCCGACGGGCCCTACGTCGAGGTGCCGCTCGACCGCACCGGGATCGCCTGGTGGACCGACTACCACGTGAAGTTCCGCAACCCGCCGCTGGTGAACGGCAGCCTGGCGCTGGCCTTCCAGGGCACCGCGCCCCCGCCCAACTGGCCCCGGCCGGTCTACGAGCTCAGCTCCGACCCCAACAACACCGGCTTCACCAACCAGGACTTCGTGGTGTGGATGCGCACGGCGGCGCTGCCCACGTTCCGCAAGCTGTACGCGCGCATCCGCCAGGGCAACTACACGGCCGGGCTGCCGCGGGGCGCCTACCGCGTCAGCATCACCTACAACTACCCGGTGCGCTCCTTCGACGGCCACAAGCGCCTCATCTTCAGCAGCATCTCGTGGATGGGCGGCAAGAACCCCTTCCTGGGCATCGCCTACCTGGTCGTCGGCTCCCTCTGCATCCTCACGGGCTTTGTCATGCTGGTCGTCTACATTCGCTACCAGGACCAGAACGACGAGGACGAGGACGAACAGTGATTCCTGCTTTCAAAGCACCCTTCCTGCTTCTTGGCAAAACTCGCTTGCAAGTTTCTTTTGGCTTCTCCCCCTCACCCCTCACACAATTCCAGCATGGCCTCACTTTTCCTCCTGCTGTGGATGAGAGGACGAGGGAGAGGAATTACACCCAATTGGAGGCTACCAGACTCTTGCTGGGGTGTTGGACTGCAGAGAGAGACATCCTTGCAAATTCTCCCCATCTCCTTCACGATTTACCCAGTTGACATGTTCGGTTCTTAAAGTCCGTAGCATCTGAGAGCGGAAGGGATGGTAGAGACCCCTAGTCAATTCCTATTTGATGAACAGACTGAGACCTGGAGATGTTAAATAGCTCATTCAAGATCAGGCAGCTCCTCACTGGCTCCTGACTCTGACTCGAGAGCTTTTACCACTACAGTACAGTGGTTTTCTTTTCTTTTTTCATTTTTTTGGGGGGGTGTGAGGGGGAATGGGTTGGAGTAGAGAGCCAAGCCCACACATAACCTGCAGAGGCATGGAGGGGTGGGAGACAACATACCTGTTAAAATGTAGATAGATCAGGAGGCACCATCCCCAGAGTCTGACCCATAAGGCTGAGGTGAGACCCTTGAAGCTGTGTCTTAACAAGCTGGTCTGGAGAGTCCTCCTGTATTCCCTCAAATTTGCGAATCACTGCCCTGAACCAGGGAGCAAGTAGAATACTGGATGTTTCCCTATTTCCTCATGTCTCTGAGGTTGGGCCTAAAGCAGCCACCTGAGTCCAGTTTTTCAGGCAGTCATTTGTTCCCAGGGGCAGTGACAATCATGATGTTGAGGGTTTGGTCCAGCACTCCCCTTGAACATGGGAAGCTCTCCATAATTTGAAGAATGAATGTAAAAACCTTGCTATCTCTAGAAAACTAGTTGGCATACAGATTTGCAGAGCAGGGTTTGTATCAATTCATTTAATGTTTGTGTAAGAGATTAAAAAAACCGGTTTGCCAGGTACTGTGCAGAAACTTGAAAATGCCAGGTCAGCTTGTACAGTTCGGAGGGAATGTTTTAACCTAAGAATCAGATAGCTGGAAGGGATCTTAGAGGGAAAATGATCTCCGTAAAGTCGTATCTGTGTCTCCTGGCTCCCGACTCAGTCCTCTTTGTCTTCTAAGTTGTTTTTTCTGCTTAGAGAGAAAGGTCCTCCTTCGTTCATATCTTTTCTCTTGGGGCTGAGAAGAAACTTGGGATCTACATTCTCAGATGAAGCGTGTGTGTTTCTAGTAATTATGTTTAAATGAATGCTGAGCAATATGGTCTTATATGTAAACTAGAATCTCAAGAATTATTTGAACCTTTGAAGATAATGTTAAACTCTCTCTAAAATCATTCTAATGTATATAAAGTTATTCTAAGAAGCAATAGAATTTTTTTTAAAAAACCTTCCTTTTATGGCAAAACAACTTAAAAAAAAACACTTTAGTGATATCATCTTAACCAGTTTATTTACTGAAAACCAACAGTTATTTGGTGTTCTGTCAGACAGAATTCTCAGTGCTTGCTCCCTATTACAGCTACTCTCCAGTTACTGCTGGTTTTGCTCATGCCTGTAAGGCAATGCAAGACCTGAAGTATATTCTTTCTTTTAGTAGTTGAAGAAATATTGACTTGTATTGAATAATTTACATTAATTTTATTTTACTCTGTTCTAGTTCTTTGGAAATCAATAATCGATGGACAGCATGCATGTTCACTGTCAGATCTTCTGTCTCAGATCTTCTGGAACAGTTGTGATTTAAGAGATTCTGTCCCACTATCTACATAAACCAAAACATATTTTAGTAATTCCAGTGTGTTGGCTTCCCAACTCCCAAATGTGACACAATTCTATTGTCAGATTGCATATTGTGATTTTAGGCTATGAAAATATGAGCATTCTATGTATATAGAGTAATTTTTATTTATTGTGGATGTTTGATCGAGCAGCTCACTAGCCTAGCCCTTCTTTATGTTGGATAAGAGAATTTACTACATTTTTTTACTATGTAGTTGAGAGCAACCATGTATTTTGCAATCATTTTTACAATATTCGTTCCATTGCTATAAAATTTTAAATAAGACTACAAAATTTAAGGTATTCTGATTATATCTATAGCTATGGTTCCAGGCCCTATTCTCTGGGTTTTTGAAATAAAATAAAGGTCATGTTTGTCTTACCTTTGTTATCACGTTTGCTTAATTCTTTTGAACTATGATCTTAAAGGCACAAACAGTCCCAACCACTTTGCTCATTTGTTATTAGCAGATTTATATTGCAGTAAGAAAATAATCTGTCAGAATAAGGCTCAAAATGAACTCAATCTTTCAGTGTTAACTTCTTAAAATAGAATTTGAACTTAATATCAACTTCAACATGCAGTATGAATTAAACAATCTTCAACTATTGTTTGAATTTGGTAAAATGTGGTCAATTTTTAAAACTGTTTAGTATTAAAAGTTATTAAAGAATGTGATTGTAGCAGTCTTCTCCATTTCTGCATTTTACCCAACTTCTAAATTGCAATTATTTGTCATGTATTTTGGATGACAAAGCCTCAGAAATTTTAAAAACAAAAATGTGAAACATTTTCCTGTGATGGTCCCTGTGCTATAGCATTTTGTGTGGTATGTCAGGATTCTAGCTGGGCTTGAATTACATTGTCTGGTAACTGCTTCCTAGCTGGAGCTATGTCTTCTGGAATGAGACAGAAAAGAGTGAACCTCAACAATTGGACTGGAAATGTGCTTTGATCTACCTTGTAATATAAACCACAAACAAAAGAGAAGCTGACATGGTTGGTGGGAACTCCCAAAACAGAATAATACAACAAGAAAGACTTTCCAGGTATCTCCAGAATCAAATCAACTGAACAATTTACTGACTATGCGATTGTTAAAAATCAGAGACAGAATAATAGTCTGGGATTTCCTTTAGTAACAAATATCACTTCACAATATATAACCACACCCTTCCTGCCTTACTGTAAGTCTGTTGCTCTCTTCCTGTTATTGGAGATCTCAAGTCTTGAGTAAGATCTCAGAGAGTTATTGGTAGAGCTGCAATGTAATCAATTCCTCATATGCCCGTGGATATAAGTCATCAATTACTATAATAATAGTAAATTCTCTTTATTTTTATCAGGCATTTTTTTGCATCCCAGATCTTTTTTCTGTAGCTAAAACATAGCTGACTGATTTTAGATAACAAATTTTTAAAAATTTTTTAACTTCAGATTTTTTCCCCTGGAGAATTTCTCTTAATTCCCCTCCAACAAAAAGAGTCCTTTTTTATTTTTTGTTTTTATTGGTGTCATAATAGTTTATAACATTGTGAAATTTCAGTTGTACATTATTATTTGTCAATCACCAAATAAATGTGCCTCTTCACCCCTTGTGCCACTCCCCAACCCTCTTCCCCCTGGTAACCACCAAACTGTTCTCTCTGTCCGTGTGTTAGTTTATCTTCCACATATTAGTGAAATCATATGGTGTTTCTTTCTTTTATCTTTCTCTGTGTGGCTTATTTCGCTTAACATAATATCCTCCAGGTTCATCTATGTTGTTGCAAATGGAACAATTTTGTCTTTTTATTATGGCTGAGTAGTGTTCCATTGTATATATATATACCACATCTTCTTTATCCAGTCATCAGTTGAGGGACACTTGGGTTGCTTCCATGTCTTGGCTATAGTCAATAATGCTGCAATGAACATAAGGGGGGATAAGCCTCTTTGGATTGTTGATTTCAAGTTCTTTGGATAAATACCCAGTAGTGGGATAGCTGGATCATAAGATATTTCTATTTTTAATTCTTTGAGGAATCTCCACACTGTTTTCCATAAAGGCTACATCAGTTTGCATTCCCACCAGCAGTGAATGAGGGTTCCCTTTTCTCCACGTCCTCTCCAACATTTGTTGTTTTTTGTCTTGGTGATTATAGCCATTCTAATGGGCGTAAGGTGATACCTTAGCGTAGTTTTGATTTGCATTTCCCTGATGATTAGAGATGTTGAACATCTTTTCATGTGCCTATTGGCCATCTGTATATCTTTCTTGGAAAAATGTCTGTTCATATCCTCTGCCCATTTTTTGATCGGGTTATTTGTTTTTTTGTTGTTCAGTTGTGAGTTCTTTATACATTATGGAGATTAACCCCTTGTCGGATATATGGTTTGCAAATATTTTCTCCCAGCTGGTGGGTTGTCTTTTCATTTTGATCCTGGTTTCCTTTGCCTTGCAGAAGCTCTTTAGTCTGATGAAGTCCCACTTGTGTTTTTCTTTTGTTTCCCTTGTCTGAGTAGACATGGAATTCAAAAAGATCCCTCTAAGACCGATGTCAAAGAGTGTACTGCTTATATTTTCTTTTAGGAGTTTTATAGTTTCAGGTCTTACCTTTAAGTCTTTGATCCATTTTGAGTTAATTTTTGTGTATGGTGAAAGATAATGGTCTACTTTCATTTTTTCGCATATGGCTGTCCAGTTTTCCCAGCGCCATTTATTGAAGCAACTTTCCTTTCTCCATTGTATGTTCTTAGCTCCTTTGTTGAAGATTAGCTGTCCATATACATGTGGTTTTATTTCTGGCTTTCAGTTCTGTTCCATTGATCTGTGTGTCTGTTTTTGTACCAGTACCATGCTGTTTTGATTACTATTGCTTTGTAGTATGTTTTGAAGTCAGGGATTGTGACGCCTCCTGCTTTGTTCTTTTTTCTCAGGATTGCTTTAGCTATTTGGGGTCTTTTGTTGCCCCATATGAATTTTAGGATTCTTTGTTCTATTTCCGTGAAGAATGTCATTGGGATTCTGATTGGGATTGCATTGAATCTGTAGATTGCTTTACGTGGTATGGACATTTTAACTACGTTTATTCTTCCAATCCACGT